AATGAGTCAACCGATCAGATTATATCGGAATTCAAACCCGGATCTTTCGCTTACTAGGCGACTGCTTTAACCAATTAAGCTATCTCAGTCGTCCGACGACACATTCTCTCCTAATCCTTATAAACAAAAACAACACCATGTCAGAAATATGCCAAACAGCTACAAAATAAACTAAGCTAGACCTAACCTAGACTAAGTGCACTTGGAGTAAATTTGAAAATGTATTGATACAGTTGAATGTGAGACCAAGTGTTGAGGACCCTATAGATATTGAAATCGGTGCTACTTCTACTTTATTATCTACTGAGATATCATCTTGAGATGATAGGCGACGCGACGCGGTAGTCAAAACTACCATGACGATTATACATATACAGTTGCCCACAAAAGTTTTCGTACACCAGAACAAAATTTGTTCAATTCAATTTTATTAGTATTTACATAAAGTATTTTCGAAATGTGTTTATACACTCAAAACTTAGTCTTCAAAACTGTATAGAAATAAATAACCTTTTTTCTTTAAGTATAAATATATTTATTATATGATACAAATATCTTCGTACAGTTGCGAGATAAGATGCATAAATGCTCTATTATTGAAACAAATGACAAGAATATCTTAGAATGCCTTAGTAGTCTGTTAGCAACGAGTGCAATAAGTTCAATTATAAAATTAGTTTTCAAATATGAGTCGTAATCAAAAACAAAGAGAAACGATTACTGAAGAGCGGGAAATTATTATTAATTTATTTAAGAAACAAAAATTGTTAAGGGAATTGCAAGTATGGTTGGGAAATCACTTACCACAATACAACACACTGTAAGAAAATATAAAAAAGATGGATATGTCGTTAATAAGCTGGCGTACGGGAAGACTCAAAAAGGTAGGAACTAGGAAAGGCAATTTGTAAAAACTTATGTCGGTAAACACGTCGTTTTAGGTAAAAGTTATATTTTGTGACGAAAGTAAATATAACATTTTTAATAATGATGGAACGAAAAAGGTGTGGAGAATATCAGGAACTGCCTTTAATAAGAAGAATTTGCGAGCGAGTGTAAAAGGTGATGATGGGTCGGTAATGGTTATGGTGTTGTATGAGTGCAAACGGGACGGGCAATTTGCACATAATTGACGGTATTATGGATAAAATTTGTTTATCTAAATATTCTTAAAACTTAGCCGACCGCGCGCGTCACAGAGACCTGTACGGTTTCCACCGCGCTCGGGAAAGCCAAACTGCGCTATCCACCGCGCATTTTTCTGAGGTAGCACGGACTGAAATTCGCTATTTGAAATCAAAAACGTCCGAAAAATTATTTATGCGATCAATTATATCTTACGGTAACAATTTCCTTCAACGATTTCACATATTGCTTATACAAAATTCGAATTTAAAAGTTTATAATAATTATTTTTTAATGGTTATTTAAAAAGTATAGTTAATAGAGTCAGAAAATTAAGGACAGTAAAGATGACGGATAAATAACGTAACTCAAATATGGAACAAAAAAGCAGTAATATATCATGATGTTCAGGCATTGTGTTGATGCATGCAGTTCGACCATATGCTTCAGTTCAACTCTAATATCATCTTCTGTCCAATCATCGACGCCATTGACAATAACATTTGATTCCGAGTCATAGGCGGAATCATCTTCCGATTCATTCGAAAGGATTCGTCGATTAGTCTGATATATGGGAACGATGGTGCTATTATTGTCGTCAACTTCACAATCACTTATCAGTAGATCAATGTCTTCAGAACAGTCTGATAGTATGTCCATAAACAACTCATCACTTGAATTGTCACTCATGTTCCTGGACATTTTTAGGGATATTTTTTCTATACTTCGTTTCACACCACTTGTTGAGAGTCACAGCAAGGAGTTTAGCTTCTACACTAATATTTGCAAGTTGAGCGGGGTCTTAGATATTCGAAAAAGATATGAGAGTCGTGAGAGGTAGCATTTCGATTTCTAATGGGTGTGGTGTTGGTGTGCTGGTGTGCATTTTATTATATGTTGTACTCTATAGAGATAAGAAGCTCTATAGAGAAAGAAGTGTTCCTCAGGTCAAAATGGTAGATCTACCCGATCGGTCGGCTACCGACTAGCTTGGAAATGGGTAGATCTACCCGAGCGGTCGGCCAGCGACTAGCTTGGAAATGGGTAGATCTATCCGAGCGGTCGGCTAAGTGTTAAAGATAACTTAAAAGTTAGTGCCGAGAAATTTGGAATTTTGAATGACTATAACTTCTACCAAAATAATGATTCTTCACACAATATATCAATATCTTCACACATATGACAATGGTTTATCTATAATATTCCCCATGTGATAGCAACACCTCTTCAGTCTCCGGATGTCAAACCAATTGAACATCTGTAGAAAGAATTGGACCGAAAAATTAGAGGTATATACATACATCAATTTTGAACCGGGAAGAATTAAAAAAACATTTATTATGTTTGATTTATGAAATTACTTCCAACTTAGTGCAATCAATGCAGCAACGATTGCAAGTTGTATTTTAAGCAAAAGGTTAAATTATTTATAGTACATACGAAGTACATTTTAATAGTCTTCAAATCGTATTATTATTAAGTGACTTTAATTAAGACTTTTGTGACTCGATATTTGCACCATTTTATAAATATGCTCTATTTACTTAAAAGAAAAAGGTTCGTTTTTATTTACTCCTATACAATTTTGAAGATTAAGAAATATTCTTTAATTATATGTAAACATTCCAAAAAACGTTATGTAAATACAAATAAAATTGAATTAAACAAATTTCGTTCTGGTATACGAACACTTTTGTGGGCAACTGTATGTATTAGTAACATCTGGATAGTCGTCATACAATTTGCTCGTGACGTCTGTATATGCTGCTTTCAATGTATAGCATTAAGTTTTTTGTGAATATAAGTAACATGTAAGGAAACTCTAGAAATTTGTGCCACTTTTAAAAATTGCAAAGGGAATCGTACAGCTTATTACAGCAAATTACAGTAGATGTTCAACTCTATTAGCCTTTCTAAACAAAAGGCACTATAATTTAACTTTTCAACCGAGTTTAAATTTGATCAATGACTTTCGAAAGATTACAAAAATCCAAGCCTCAATCAGTAAACCCACTTGAACCCTTTCACTACTGTTAGCGCCTAAAGGCGCTTAGAAAACTTCCGCTTGTTATACTATAGGCGCTTAACCTAGTTCCATCTACTGACTCGAGAGGCGCTCAGAAAATTGTATCGATCAAAAAGCTTAATGTTAATGTTAACTTTTTAGTACGTACACTAAGAATTCAATGCGGAATATAAAAAAATACATGATATTGTTTTAATGCAGTGGAATTCAGTGTTTTTATTATTTTAATATATTTTCTCAAAAACGCACACCTAACAAAATGTTTCGCTGTTCACAGTGTAAGTGGTGAATGAATTCCTACCGTATGGAACGGCTGGTGGTCTTAAAGTTTGCCGTAGTCAAAGGGTTAACGTATGTTAAGCCAGCTGTCAATTTAAATAAGTAAACGTTATATCCTCCAAACACAAGAGCTGAAATACTTAAGTCACTAAATTCATCAAAGAAACTAATAATGTATAAAAACATTACTTCCCATCTAAATCCAACTTAGATAAAATTGTTTAGCGATGTGTACTGCTCTGACTTAATGAAACGCATCTTTGAACAGGAACATTTGCATAAATAAGTTGATCCGAACATTGAGAACATTGCTAAGCAATTCTTCATTATTGTTCGCAATGCGAACAGCTATGCCCGACCTTCCTGTAGATGTTAGTGATATACCAAATCTAAACGTCCGCGAAAATAATGTGTTACCACAGCTTAATCAAATTTCGATAATTAAATCAAAATCTGTTTCTAAAATTTATTTTCCATATTTATCGTCGATCCGAAATTATTGCACGACACAGAGCCACAGTCGTTGGTTTCCATACAAAAAGCGGAAAAAACATGTAACAACTAATTTATACTATTTATATTATACTATTTATACTATTACGACTATTATATATTTAAGCCTTACTTTTTCATTTTATATTACTAATACATATATTTGGGTTTCTGTTGAGACAGAATAGTGAAAAACATGCAGTATTTTAATTGTTTAAATTAAACTAAATTCTGTAAAAATTATTTATTTTCAAAGAACAAAATAATTTTTTTTTTATAAACGATAATATAAATTTAAAGTGATTGAGAGATAGGTTACTTTGAAACCATGTAGCCGTGTTCCATGAAGAAAATGGTAAAAAAGGTCATAGTAAATAATAAGCCACATGTTTAATTGACTACTAATGAATAAATTATACATTATGGGGATATTTCTTAATACAGACTTTTTTCCGCTTTTTGTATGGAAATCGACTACTGTGCGTCGCCCTAATGCGCCACGAATATGTACATACATATTTTCCTCCAAACACTTTTACGTCCATCGCTACCAAAACCGTTAAATTTACTCTCATCTGTAACGGAACGCACAGAGGGGCTTTGTCCGATTCGGGTTCAAAGAAACCAGGATGTTTAGGTTGGGAGATAAGGACTGGCCATGCGGTGGAGGCTGGCCTTGCAGGGATGAGCCGGGCCGAGAGGCAGAGAAAATTAGACCGTTGACCAAGAAGGATCGCTTGGGCAGCAGAACGGGAAAAATCAAAACATATATTAATAAAAGTTTACAGTTCAGAAGTGGGATACACTCGCGTGTTGGGTGTCGACCTGATTATTCGAAAGTCGTCTTCGAGTGAATAATAAGTGAATTTGACGAAGTGGTGGAGATGTCGAAGAAAGTCTGTAAGAGACGATCAGAGTCGCCGGACAGCTGCGAACGAGAGCGAGTCCGAAAATCGAGTCGACATCATAGGCAGCGGTCTCGGAGTTCACGGAGAATGGAAAAACGTAGGGACTCGGTTACGAGGCCACAGCCATCCACCCACAGGAACCGATCTAGAGAAGGACGATCNCTTGAGCCTGTTCGTGACACTTCATCCAAGAATGTCTTACGCGTGCTGAGCCAAGTAATCGCAATTTTTGGGGTACCGTCTCGAGTCATTACCGACAGGGGGTCGGCTTTCACCGCAAAATCATTCGAAGCTTTTTGCGTTGAACATGGCATGAAACATGTATTGAATGCGGTGGCTACACCACGGGCAAATGGACAGTGCGAGAGGCTGAACCGTACTCTGCTGAGTTCTCTTGCAGCTACTTGTGCTGGGGAAGCAGAGGATAAGTGGGACGATAAGGTGAAGCAGGTACAAAGCGCTATTAATTGTACCACCAACAGGACTACCCGCAAGTCTCCGACGCAGCTGCTGTTTGGATTTAAGCCACGTAGTTTGGCAGGGGCCAAACTATTAGCGGAAATCCAGGATACGCTGGATCAGTTGGATCTGCAGGAAATGCGTGGAGCCGCAAAAGCTGCCACGGATGCGGATCAAGAGAGGCAGAAAAAACGTTTTGACGCAAAACGCTATGCACCTCCGAAGTATGCAGTAGGAGATGTTGTGATGGTCGCTGCCAAACATGGAGCGACAGGGGAAAGCCGAAAGCTACTGCCTGTAGCGAAAGGGCCGTTCAAGGTGACTGCAGTCCTACCTAACGACCGATATGAGGTTCTCGATCTTCGGGACATGAGGAAGTCGCGTAACAGTCGTACTGTGGTCGCTGTTGACAGTATGAAACCTTGGGTTACGTTTGATGCCACCCAATAGACGACGGTGAGTTGGCAATGGGCGGCTCCTAGTGCAGGATTCTGTGCAGTAGCACTTGGTCGGAGTATGTTACCCTGAGCAGTAATTTCGGGTCAGAATTACTTGTGAGTGACGGGTGCATGCGAGGCCGGGACCCAGGTCGAGTTCGGATTATCCTAGGGTAGGGAGTCGTCGACCCTATCTGGTAAAGATATTCGAGCGGAGGCTATGACATGAGGCCGAGTTCGGATTGTCTTAGGGTAGGGAGTCGTCGACCCTATCTGGTAAAGACATTCGAGCGGAGGCGTTGACATGAGGTCGAGTTCGGATCATCCTAGAGTAGGGAGTTGTCGACTCTACTCGGTAAAGATATCCGAGCGGAGGCCGGGACAGGTAGTCGGAGTCAGGACTGATGGGGTTGAAGTGACCAGTCGCTCACTTAGCTTTGTCTCAGTCTCTGGCAAGGCTAGCGACCGTAGTTTTGTTTAGTCACTATTTTGCTTATGCATGTCAAATGAGTTGTGGTTGTGCTGTTTGACTGGGTATTTGTATCAATGGGAGTCTGACTGTCGGACGGGCCTGATCACCCTGCGTCGCTGTCTGTAGTCTCAATCGATCAAGTACCGTATGGTTAACGAATTGTGGTCTGTACTAATTTTTTGTATTTATTGATGGGTTACAGGATAGATTCATGGGTTACCTAGGTGAGATACCTATATTATCATGTGTATCGTCGAGGACGACGAAGTGGTCAGTCTGGCCGAGTGTAACGGAACGCACAGAGGGGCTTTGTCCGATTCGGGTTCAAAGAAACCAGGATGTTTAGGTTGGGAGATAAGGACTGGCCATGCGGTGGAGGCTGGCCTTGCAGGGATGAGCCGGGCCGAGAGGCAGAGAAAATTAGACCGTTGACCAAGAAGGATCGCTTGGGCAGCAGAACGGGAAAAATCAAAACATATATTAATAAAAGTTTACACATCAGAGAATAATACTTTGTCCCAGAATGAATTATTTTCATAAATAAATTTTTCGGCGAATTTTAAACGTACAATTTTATTTTTCTTGCTTCATAAATCATCATAAATGGCTTTCTTCTTGGAACTCGTGCATGTAAACCATCATTTCTTAATAATCGGCGACTCAATGTGTTGAGTCTGTGTTGCTACGCGTCTGTGTTGCTGTGAGTCTGAGGAAGCAACGCGGGGAGCGAGACGCTGCGGCGGTAGTCAGGAGGCGTAGCCCACGCGGCAACAATGTTGCGTGCTCCGCCTTTCCTAGCCCTGATGTAGACCGTGGGTACAATATTCTTTATATTATATTTTACCGAACGCATAAAAAGATAGCGAGTTGAAGAGAAAGAGAAATTGTAGGTCGAGGCAAACGGAACATTTTAAAAGGTTGCATATCGATTACAATCTTAATGCAAATGGAAAACTTTCTTATCATTTATTCCTTTTTCACAAAATTTGTATCAACATATTTCGAAGATTTTTGAGATTTTCCTATTAAAAAGATTTCAAACATGGCGCAATTTTGATTACAGTTACATATTTATACGTCTTGTCAATGAGCACTTTTGGAATAGTGGAAGCGAATTTCGACATTGTGTTCAACCTCTAGGTCCTTAGACCAGTCTGGTTTTTACAGAATTGTGTTTACATTGATCACTCATTATGTAGCCGTGTTAGTAAAGGACCTAACCGATTAAGATGGTCAAAATTGCCCTTAGAGGTTTTTTAATGATTATTGTATCGCTCGATAGATGACCAAGAAAAACTCATCTGTGCAAAATTTCAACCCTGTAACTTGTCCACGAGGGTAGGTACAGAGTAAATTAGATTGCACGTTTTTCCGCCCATTTCCCCCTCGGTGGCTTAAAATTTTGAAAAAAATGTGGCTTATTTTGGAAATCAAGCCACATATAGAATTTTTCAGAGTTTTCGGTTGCGAGCTGTGGTTATCAAAAATGGAAAATAAAAAAATCGGATAATTGAAGATATCTTGAAAACAAAAATACTGTGCAATTTTGATATCAATCCCTTGATAAGTTACTATCACAAGCAAGGTGCACAATTTTTTCAGATTTTTCGTAGAATTGTGTCATTGACAAAAAGAATAAAAGCCGCATTTGTCGTCGACGTATTTGCTGTGAGGTAGAAAGTTACTACTTGTTGGGTTTACCGCAAGTTTAGATTAAGTAATTTTACTTAACTACACTGGGGTTCGACACCCGTTAGAGGCATAGTTTTTTTTCATAAAGCATACATTAATTTTCCAATTTCATATCACATGGTTCATTCACATGACTTATAAAATATATTTTAATATATAAATATATTAAATATATAATGTAAATATATTAAATGTAATATAAATATATTAAATACATATCTTTTAATATGTGAAAAATATTTATGTCAAATTACACACCAAAATAGTTTAGAAGTATCTCTTATTTGATCGATTCTCTAACTGTACATGTTCGTTTATTGCAATATTGTTATCATTCCTGCTGAAACTAACAACGATAATCTAGGATACTGACCATCACTCTTGCTGCATTCCGCTCACAATTACTAAGATAAGTCTATTTCCATCAAACTTCATAAATATATTTACTATTATGGCAAATAAATAATTGCGTAATTAACAGGTCACTTTAAAAGAAAAGTTAACAATTGATAAGATTAGCCACGATTTCTTTGTAATCCACCCATATTTGCTGAAGACGGAAGGTTTAGAAACTAAATTAATAAATTGTAATGTAAAGAATGTTAAACAAAGCCGTAATGATAAACATAAACCGTTAAAGAATCGATAAAATAAGAGATACTCTAAAACTATTTTTGTATGTATTTGGTTTTAAGTATTTTTCAAATATTAAAAAAATATTGTGATATAAAATTGGAAAAGTAATGTGTGCTTTATGAAAAAAAAAACTATCTTTTAACCGAGTTTGAACCCCAGCGAAGTGTCTCTGCAGTCGGCCACCTTACTCACACACAAACGACGATGTCGAAACATGTATGAATTTTTTGTCTCTTAAATCGCATTTTCTAGGTTAAAAAAATTCTTATTTTAATGTAATAACGTTTAAAATTACTTAATCTACACTTACGGTAAACCCAACAAGTAGTAACTTTCTTTTTCACAGCAAATATGTCGACAAATGCGGCACAAATTAAGTGCATTGCTTGTGATAATACCTTATCAGGGAATTAATATCAAAATGATATATTATTTTTGTTTTCGAGATATTTTCAATTTTCCGATCTTTTTTTGGTTTTCCATTTTTAATAACCACAACTGGTAACCGAAAAATCTGAAAAAATTCTGTAATATGCGGCTTGATATCCAAAATAAGCTACATTTTTTTTTAAAATTACCCTCACGGATAAGTTACAGGGTTAAAATTTTGTACAGACGAGTTTTTCTTGGTCAGCTATCAAACGATAATAATACTCACTAAAAAACCTCTAAAGATAATTTTGACCATCTTAATCGGCTAGGCCCTTTACATGTAACTCCGGATCACGGTAAAAGTAGAAGGAGTAGTCCATCTATGGTTGCCTACCTCCAATTTTTTGTGACATTCATTTGTGTAAGATCACAGGGGTAGAGATAAAAGTCAGTTCACCTCTCCTTCTTACACCGTACTCCGGACCTATATGTATTTAAAAAACATAGAGCGTGTCGAGTCATCTCTTTCAGACTTGTTTACCTCCCATAAGTCTCATTTTTACTGGCTTGGCCTAAACCGCGCGGCTTTGCCAACCGAATGAGCCGATCCTTGTGAAATCGCGTTTCCACTGCGTCGACACAGGCCAATTGGGCAGAAGAATAGACAAAGATGAACAAGTTTGAAGCGTTTTGTATCTCTTCAGTGTCATTTGAGAAGGATACAGTTCCACTTGCAAAGCAAAACGCTATGTTAATTCATTTTTCTTTCGATGTCGGTAAAATATCAAAAGAAATCGTGCCAAGCGAGGCCAAGTCATCGGTACGAGGAACAGAGTTTTGGTCCTAAAGTAGAATCTGGGACAAAATTAATAAGTCCTGAAATTCTCTCCAAACTGCAGGTAGTAGCTAGATCGAGTGAGACGGTCATTTTTTCGTATATGTACTGTCATTATTCCCTCTCACTCGGTCTTGTTACTACTCTTCGTTGACCTTTGTCACCGTCTTCGACCAATATCGATCATTGCTTGCGATCATAGGAGGAACACTGGACAGCAGATGAAGTTCGTTTGTACGGAACTTCCTATAACGTGAGAGGAGGAGCAATGAAACCAATCGCTCTATTGAGGAATACCGACGTTTGGCTTTTCGAGCCGTTCAGCATCGACCTAAGCGAAAACCCAAGCGGTCACTGTGTTGGGTATACCGCGCGGCATGCCCAAGCGACAAAGGACCCAAGCTTATGGGTCCGATTGGTCCCTGAGTCTGCCGTTCAGTCGATTGTGGGATAGTACACCGTTCGAGAGTTAAAGGATGCTTGATCATTTATGTAAGTCATTGTAGGATTCCAATACTATGACCTTGTTGATAAGATGTTAATAATTGTAACATAAACGATCTGAAACCCGGTATTTTGTTGGGCCCCGGTAGTTCTAATGCGAAATCGTGAAAATAAATCTGTCCTTACCTATGAGTGACGTACACTCAGCATTGATTATCCCACTGGGCAAAAGGTGGAAGTGGAATTCCGAACCATCTACTACGACAGTGTGACCAGCATTGCTTCCTCCCTGCAAAATCGAAATGAATTCTTATCATTCCGTACACATATGTCTTTTATTTATCAATTTCATAACGTTGTTCAACCGATTACCTATTTCTATAAAATTTCCTTCAACAATGTTTTTCGTTCTAGTAAAAACACCACGAAATTACGTTGGATCTCCAAATCTTGTACATTTTTACGTTGCTTGTATTTTTAAAACGTACAAGGATATTATTGTGTCGCACGACGAAGAATGCTGTGAAGTTTCGCAAGAATATACATACAGATTATTTATGTTACATTAAAAATAGAACACAGAGTAGAACATTCGTGAAATTATTCTTTGTTATTACATTTTCAGCATTTATTTGTTATTTTACAGTTTACCTTCGTAGCGCGAGTTCGCCTCACATTCACACACGAACGACAAAGGAAGATAAATTTTTGGGACGTTTAACGAAGATTTATTTAAGCAGCATTAAATGACCTTGACGACCTTCAAAGACCACAGTATTATAGGTTAATAAATCCACTTTGAAATGCACTATCCGCTTAAATAATAAATGGTATAGTTCCATTTAAAAAAAAACCTCGGGATCACCCCAGCTATCAAAAATTTGTGACCATTATAAAACGTCCCCCTCGAAACGTGTTTCATTTGAAACAGTTTTTGAAACATACTATAGTTTAGAAGATCATTAAGTGCGTAACTTTAAATGGAACACCCTGTAAGTACACACAGTGAGGAGCAAAACTGAGCCAACTCCTTTTTAAGCGGTATACCTTTTTGCAAACTAGACTAAACGACTTGAATTTTATTTAGATGATAGAAGGACTAGTCTGCAAGACAATAACTGAAATGCTTTCTTTTTAATTTTGTTATCGCTTGGAATAACAAAAGAAAAAATTAATAAACTCACGCTTGTTCACTTTTTTGTCTGTGCTTATAAGGAAAATTTAAAATATGCAAATTTCATCGAAATCGATTGACCTTTCAGTGGCTGTAGCCTGAATTTCACAAATAACCATAACAATATAAATATAGGCACTTGATAATTTCAATAAGAAATCAATATTTTTAAACATTTGGATGTTTCTGATTCTCAGAAATATTTCATGAAATTATCTGAAATGGCCTGGCCGAATAAGATGGTCAAATTTGTTCTTACAAGGGAAGCTCCCCAGCATTGACGCTCACTTTTTGACGAGATTTGATACAGTGATACCCAATCCAATGATACCCGGTTTTAGGGGCAGACGACTTATAGTTTTTGAGATAGTTTTGTTAATAAAAGGCCAGAAAGGCGGATTACACAGCGAGGCATTGCGCGGCAGGAAGTGGGTGGGTGCCTCGTACGTCGCGATAAGATGGGCTCCAAAATCGGGTATCATTAGATTCAGCTTTACAAGCTCTATCATGTAGAGACGACTTGTTAGATAACTATTACACCGTTCAATACCTGACCAAATGAAAACTTCTCTATGCAAAATCTAAACACTGCAGTAGATACAGGGTAAATTAGATCGCGCTCTTTTCCACCCATTTCCCCTTCAGCCACATGTTAGACAATTTTTTCAAATTTTGTTGTTGTAAACTGTTGATTTTTCGAAAACAAAAAGTATTGCTTTTTTATATTAATTCCCTGATGAAGTACTATAACAAGCGGTAGGCTCAATTTTTTACAGATTTTTTCAGCGCATATCATTGTCAAAAACGACAAAAATCGAATTTATCGACGTTGTTGCTGTAAAAAAGAAAGTGACACTTGTTGTCAAGTAATTTTAAATGTTATTACATTGAAACAAACAATTTTTTAGCATAAAAAAAGCGATTTTGGAGAAAGAAAAAATTGTGATGTGCGCGTTGCGATCCATAAATTAACAATTAACGGTCTTTACGTCTTGAAACATTGTTAAAATCGTCGTGAACAACTAATTCATCGATTGGAATCAATGTGGAACGTCGACAAATACGATTTTTACCAATTTTGACAATGATGTACGTAGAAGAAAAGGTATGTATCTGAATTCAGTCATACAAGTTGCAATACAAAAAAACATATACTATAAATAAATTATAAACTCGTGTAAAATAGAAATATAAAACAACATCGATCATAAATAAATAATAATTTTTAAAATGTCAAACTTCTTAAAACATAATTAGATAATAGAGGTATCAAACTAGTAATACAAATTAAAAACAAATTTATTTCTATAACTTAATTTTATAAGGTGTTCGAATGCTTATGTGATGAGAAAATTCGATGTTTTTTTATATTGTTTAACTTCATAGGCAACGTTTTATACACAATCAAGTTTTTTGTATTTTGACATTTGTATACTCTACTTAATATACCGTATTTACTATACTGCAATATATATATATACAATTTATTTAAATAAATATATATTGAAGGGAAAAAATCCTTGGCGGTATATTCAAGTATACACTATAACACTATACTAGTATTCAAATACCTTTATGTAAGAGTATACGTATTTGTAAAATAAAAATTGTGTATTACTAAAATGCAGAAACTTATTCTTAAGATGTTTTATTGGCTTACGAAAAAAACCTGTTCCTTAATCGGCTATATAGATATCTTATCTTAAATAACAATTGATTTTTCGGCCAAGCGGAGTGCTCAGTAGTGAATTTTTCTCAAGTTTCTATTGTCTTATAATTCGTGCCATTTTAACATTTTTCTTAGTAGTGCAGAAACCTCATAGTCCAGTTTAGTCTGGAAGCAATAGCGTGGAAAATGTACTTGATATTTGAATGATGCAATAAATGTTTCCATTACTGCAGTCGCAATCGTGCAAATGCCTCGCCTTGAAATCTTTATTCAATACTCATTATAAAATCGTTGATCTGATACATTAATTATATTTTTGCTTATCCTGCATCAATTATGCATTTTTTTAATTAGTCAGATTATCTTGTCCTTGAACACGAATGTTTTATACGATACGATCTCTATTTGATCAATTTACTTGAAATTCTGCAGATAGATATATAAATACTTACTAATTTCCTACACTTCGCAATCAAACTTTTTTAGGATCCAAGCTTTCCGTTTATAATTACTAATGATAGAAAGTCATTTTCTCAGGAAAGTAAGTTCGCAGTTTTTACATTCAACAAAATTTTTAAAAAGTTATTGTGACGTAATACAGCGACTATTATATTTAATATGTACTGCTATTTTTTACGGTTTTCCTGTTTACGGAAGTGTAATTTAAATAGCGCCATTACGATTATTGTGTAAGTGATGATTTTAGCCGAAAATTGGATTATTATTTACTTTATTTTAGCGTTTTCTCACCGATCTTTAACTTTTTTCTTCACATGTGCCATTAAATTCCGTCCATGCATATGCTACAACAATCCGATAAATAATTACCGGAAAATATTTTAGACTAGAGTTAAACGGTTTCGAGACGGGTATAATCGTAGTTTGACATAATTGCTTTTCTTGAAATTAATGTATAAAGGATGTTTGATATATAAAGGTAGCGTTTGTTTTTCCAAATCGAATCATGCAGCAGTCGACACCTACATAATATGTAGCTGTCTTTTATTTTAAGTGTCGTCATCGTATAAAAAAGGGAAAATTAAACAATTCTCCACAAAAACAACGCGGAACATTCTGATCAACATTGGAAGTTGTCATTTAAAGAGCCACAAATTTATCAATTTAATCATTTTTCATTCTTTTATGTCGATATCGTCAATAAGGATACATTGTACGTATTAGAACTAAAAACATCAATCGTTATTCGTTCTGTTGTTTCTGGAAATAAATACAAGGCTAGAGAATGTATACAGAATGTCTCATTTAAGTTGAGATTGTAAAAAATCTCGTAGACGCGTGATTTAAAAAAAAACTGATACATGTAGTTTAGTATTTCGAGTGGGAAGTCAAATGGGTTCCAAGATTACTTTAAGGTCATTTTGCGTTTTTTATCATAAATCTATATTTCGGAATCATATCCTACGTAGATAAATGCACAACTTTTGTTGGAAACATCTTTTTGTAATATGATATTCTTAAATGAAATAAAATTCCTTCCAGAAGGAAGTATAACGTTGTCACTTTAATAGAAAAACAAAATTATCCTTGACATAAATATGAAAAATCAGCTAAATATCTTAAAAAATATTGAACTTACAAAAAAATGTTTCAAACAAAAGTTGTGCATTTTTTACGTAGAAGCTCTACCATTATTCTGTCGGTTTTCCCGGCAAATGCAATAATATTATGACCGCGTTTTAATTAATCATTACTTCTTTATGATAAAAACGTTAATAAATATATGGATTTTATGAATTTATGGTACAAATGGATAAGTGAAATACAGATAGAAGAGATATCAGAAAACTGTAAGAATATTATTGCATTATTTTTACTTTGTTAAAATTATTAATTCTTATCTGTCTTCTGTTTTTTGTAATTGATACAGATGATTTTATGCAAAATAAAAATTCTTTGCATCAATTACAAGGAATAGAAACTAAAGCTTGAAAGCAGGAACGCTAGGTTGGCGGAATTGAGCAGGCATGGAGGGGGCCATACTTCAGTTGATCAGCGAAAAAGGCGAGTAGGGCAAGGAGCAACCAATGTCCCTCGAGCTGCCAATTTGTTATCTTTGTTTTAGATGTACAGTAAATTCTCTTCAACTGTCCCTCAGCGTCTAAACAAAAATGGACAATTTGGGAAGAAGAGATACGATTATTCGAGCCTTGCGGCTCGTTTATACAGTAGCCGATTGTCAACAACTATAAAAACGAGCCGCGAGGCTCGAATAATCGTATCTTCTCTTCCCAAATTGTCCATTTTTGTTTACAAGCTGAGGGGAAATTGGAGAGAATTTACTGTAATGTAGTAGTGTGATATCTTATTCCATTTTTCTATTAGAAATTCTGTTTTATTGAAACATCGATGATTCTTCATTCGAGGTTTCATCTTTCCCCAAAGATATTCCTATTGGGTTTAAGTCGGCATATAGAGAAGATCAATA